CGCTGCAAGAAAGTTCAGGTTACTGACGTCTAACTGACGTCATTCCAGGCAAAAACACCTTGAACTTAACGTTGATACACGAACTTGTAGAAAACCACAGGACCTTCTAAACTTTGTACAAAAGTACATCGCATATGATCTATGAAACATATGAGGAAATCAAATGTGGTTCATCCGGAAATGTTCCAAGTATTCAGTCTTAATTTGTTACTGTCATTGAAGAAAAGTCTGGAGCATGAAAGGCTAACACGGCATGTGTGGGTTCCAGTTGTGCAGTAGTAAACTTCTGAAGATTTTGATCAGGAGAGGTCATGGACAAGACTCCTGCCTCAAAACTAAAAAAGAAACAGAGCAATTTCATCTGGAAATGCATTTTAATATAATTATATAAGATAATTATATGCTAACTGCATTGTACACTTTCTATGAATCCTATGATATACAAACGTACTGTTGTTGGCAAAAAGGTTTGATTTTACTGTATTATGAATCATTAATTTCAGTCCAAAGCTGTTGTCAGATTTTATTACAGACCTAGTTTTGAGTTTATAAGCCTTAGAAATGCTCCAAACCCACAGATCTGACCTCTCTATAAGACTTAGTGAACCTTTCACATTGACCACACAATCCACAGGATTTTCACTGATCACTAAGGACAGGCCTCTGGTCCATCAGTGCTCTAATGCCTACACAAGCAGCTAGACCACCAAAGCAGGGTCCAGGCCGCAATTAGCACCTGTTTTTGATGGTTGTACTTTTCTGACAGCTCCACTGCCTATCTGGCAATTACTGCCCAGCCTGTACAACACCCTGACCTGGGTCCAGCTGGCCCTGCTGTTTGAACAGAACATCAGCTGTGCATTAGAGACATTAGCTCACTCTTACATTAGGGCTAGCTCTGTTGGTGTTACAAAGGGCATCTTTTTATTGAATTTGACACTGGGTCAAGAGTTACTAACTTAATCGTGGAATACTGGTACTCTTAAAATGCCCTGATTTGTTGTGAGTGACTTTTCATAATTCTGGAGGGCAAGTTAGCAAAACCCCAGACTATAGTGATGCTAATACATGTTTATATGACGGCCAGAATAAACTTGAGACCAAAACTAAGAACAGGCCAAAAGATATCTCTGCTTTAGCAAAAGGCCCAGTTTAAGTCCAAAATGTATACATGTCTGAAGATATGAAAAGTGCAGGGAGAAATCAGTACTGAGCTTTCCTACTACAAGGATATATGGAAATGCATATGCATGAGGGATACTACAAACCACCCAAATTGCACCTTTGCAATCAGCACGTGCTGTTAAGACCCGTATCCCTCTTCCCGTGTCCCCGCAGAGTCCTGGCCCTCTCGGAGCTGTTGTTATTTCATGCGTCAAGTGGTAACATCCACTTTAATTTGTGCTCATCAAACTTGCATGAGACTTACCACTGCTGAAACTCAGTGTGTAAGCCACATCCCCGACGTTGACATACACCACGCCGTAAACTTAAATGCACTTGATATAACTTATTCATGCACGCTTAATCTCCGAAATCTGGGGACAATCGCGACTTTTTGATCATGCTGATGGTTCTGTGTAAGGGATTAATCCGTGTCCCTTTGCCCTTAATTCGCACGTCCTTGCATGCCTAATGCAGGTCCCTAATGGCTCGGTAATGACAGAATAATGTGGCCTTTCCTGAACCGATGACAACCTATCTATCAAACCACCAACTGTTGGAGGCAGGAGTGCCATATCTGGACACGGAGGTTAAGATTAATCACCTACATGCACACACTTTGCTATATATCCATGCCCACATTAATAACACAGTGACACACACAGCTTTACTACTGCAACTAAAAAAAACATCTTTGTTACCATGGGTCACTGTTCTGAGCTCTGATATTAACCATTTCACTACCAAGGTAGCCTTTTGTACATATCTGGACACGGAGGTTAAAATCACCTACATGCACACACTTTGCTATATATCCATGATTGTCCACATTAATTACACACACACAGATTTACTACTGCAACTAAAAAACATCATTGTTACCATGGGTCACTCTCCTAAGCTCTGAATCTGATATTAACCATTTCACTACCAAGGTAGCCTTTCGTACATATCTGGACACGGAGGTTAAGATTAATCACCTACATGCACACACTTTGCTATATATCCATGTCCACATTAATAACACACACAAAGCTTTACTACTGCAACTAAAAAAACATCTTTGTTACAATGGATCACTCTCCTAAGCTCTGATATTAACCATCTCACTACCAAGGTAGCCTTTTGTACATATCTGGACACGGAGGTTAAGGTTAATCACCTACATGCACACACTTTGCTATACATGGATATCCATGCCCACATTAATAACACACACGCAGCTTTACTACTGCAACTAAAAAAAAACATCTTTGTCACCATGGGTCACTTTCCTGAGTTCAGATATCAACTGATATTATTCTGATATTATATAAATCTGATATTATTATCATATTCTGTAGTATAACTTTGCACATAGTCTCTCATCATTGTATCTTCTTGTCATACATGTTGTTTGTATTTGCAACTAGCCCTCGGGCATGTATTTGCAATAAACTTTCTCTTATTAATCATCTCACTACCAAGGTATCCTTTTGGCAACAAACATGTATCAGATACAGGATGATACAGCAGGGAAAAGGTTAAAGCTAAGTATAAAGTCATTATAAATGCCTGAAATGTAGCCAGGTTGTGTCATCACATCATAAGTGCCCATAAAGTGGGTCCCAGTGGAGAGGGCTGACATGGAATGTTTCCCCCTGAGGTTTTGTATTAGATACAGGGTGAAACCTAATTCTCACTGCAGGTCTGTTTGTGAGGACATTATCAAATACACATGAATATGGAACCAGTTTAAATTTGCCCTCAACTTGAGGTACATTTATATTCTTAAGCACACAAGTACTAGTATTTTAGGATGTGAAATGACTAGCACTTAAACACTTCTGGTTCAACTTAATATCACACAACGTATTAAGCTTATCCTTAGTAACGGCAACCAAATTATTCTACACCTTGCAACAGTTTATTTGATGGCAGCTGGGGAAACTTAATTACAACTGTATGCTGTAAAGATGTAACCTCCATTAACATTTATCCAGCAGGTTGTATATATTCCCTACTTTGAAAGCCAGTGTGTTTGACATACCTCTAGAGCAGCACTCCCATGTATGTACAGTTTAGGTATACAGGTGTGCATTATTTAGAAATCACCTTAGGATACCCTTTTCAAGGGTTACTCAAGGGATACCAGCACTTTTTATAATGTGAAGCGGTGTAATTATGCTACTAGAAAGTCTAGATATTATAGATTCCTGTATCAGACTGGTAAAAACGTACTTGTTGTTCTATAAAGCATAGAATAATACAGCAGACATTATGTATAGTATAATGTCAACTCATAACTGTGTCTACATGTAGGTACCCAAACACTGGAATAATAAAAAATGTAATATCATGATGGCCTTCTCTGTGTGTTTACTGTGATTACTGATGCAGCAATTACATGTAGAAGATCTCCTTAAAATTTGCCATTACATTTTCATTTTTAATGTGGTAAGTATTAGGGTTCCCTGGTGGAATTATGAGACTTGATGCTACCAATCTAGCTTCAGGCCACACCAATTTGATCAATTATGTTCTCAGATTTGCCCGCTTCATGTTTTTCAGTCAGATTTGCAAAAAAATATATTACGGTTCTAAATCAAAAATTCCCAAATACTCATACTAAAAAAAAAATACAAGAACCATTAAATAAAATTGGTGCGGCCTGAAGACTGATAATTTTTGCAACAAAACAAACAGCACAACTTACAGTAGCAATTACAGCGAGGCATATAATCATGCCTGTACAGACAGCAATCAACCAAAATAAGTCATGATCCATTTCACGGATTATGCCATTTCATACGAGCATAACCAATCATAGTCAATATGACAAAAAGACCCAATTTAATGGTTTAAACCTGTATCTGAATGATAAGAAGAGGGCAGGATGTGAGGGAGTCCCAGGGTGGATGAGGAAACTGTAAATATCTCGTAAACGATGGAAATGTTTTATGGGAAACCTTGAAACTCAAGCTGTGCAATTCATATTAAAGCAAATATATAAATTATGGCTTACAGATAATAAATGTATGTTTATACAGGCACAAGCATGAAATTGTTCACATCCAATAAATGTGAGGAAAACATATACTAGTAATATCTGACAGGATCTTCAGTTGATCTAAATAGACAAGGCAAAGATATACAATACACACTGAGCCTGCATGAGAGATCAAATGGTTGTAGCCACAAGTTACATGTACATGTATATGTTGTAAAGAATAAACCATTTTAACATTTGTACATCCATGTATGAAAACAATATTATGATGTACATGAACAATAGACCCCAAGGAAACTTCTGGTACAAACCAACGGACAAGACTGTACCTACATGTAAATGTCCCTCCACAACATATCTCTATCACTAAATATGTTCATACAAATAATGATGGTAAAAAATATTGATCAAAACTGTTCATTCATATTTAACATTACGCACAAAAAACAATCAAAAATGAAGCAAAACCCTGCATGTTAGGAAATGGTGGCTGAAACTGTACCTACATACATGTACATTTTGTAGATGTACATTTTGTAGTAGCACATACATACAGTGATGGTAAAAAATGAATTTACTGATCAAAAGTATTCTTTCATATCTAACGTTCCCCACAAAACCAATCCAAGATGAAGCAGACCCTGCATGACGATGATGTTAGGAAACGGTGGCTGAAACTGTACCTACATAGATGTAGTACAAGTAGCACATACATATGAAAAAAAAACGAATTCGAATGTACTGATCAAAATTGTTCAGTCCTAGCTAATGTAACCCACAAAAACAATCAAAGATGGAGCAGAACCCTGCATGTTATAAAAGGGTGCATGGCTGAAACTGTACGTACATAGATGTAGTAGCGGTGCTTACGGCGTGTCCTCTCCATCCCGCGTGCGTGCTGCACACCTGCGACGCGCCGATGTCCACGCGACCATCCTCCCTAGCCGGCGCGGCGCGGCACATTTGCTGGCTGACACTTCATCAGGAGGGTGATAGATTAGCGCAGCGTGCCAGCCTGAGAGCACTGATTCACCGCCGCCGCAGGCAGGGACAGCTGCAGGGCTAATTCTCAGTATTTCAACCTGATTGCTACAGCGAACGTTTCACTCCTGAATACAGGTCTTACTCTGCCCACTGCCTCTGTAAACCAGGAGTCCTGGACACAGAGTGGGGGCTGCAAATAGTCTGAAATAAGCTGTGTGTATCCTGTGTATGTCAGTTGCCTTATTAGCATAATATGGGAACAATAATAGTATTACATCCCCCTAGGCGGGAATAATTATTCCGCAGTTGCCTTTGATCAATGGGTACCATATTTGCTGAAAGCTGTCGGGCTGCACCATTCTTGTTGTAGGGATATTGAGGGACAAGACTGTTCTGTATCAGAGCAAAATGAACTTGAAGGGTTGAGTTGACCTTTTGGCAGTCTCCTAGTCCTAGCAGATGACATTAAAAAAATCGTCATGCCTTTATCTGCTTGCTTTCATGTTCTTGTTTCTATTATTACAAATGGTCTTCCTTTGGAGCTCAAAAATGTTATGATTTTGCATCAAAACATCTGCTTGGAGATTAACCTTTTGGTACCAATAATAGAACCAATATGCGTATAATACCCAGAATAAATATGAGTGCACGCATTGGTTGGTTCGTTTCCTCCCCTCGGCAGAGCGTTATGACGAAATCTCTAACCAACCGGCAAATTCAGACGGATGTTCTTCCAAGTTGAAGTTTCAGATGACCTATTGTTCTCTCCCCACATTACCTGGTCGGCTGGTAGCTGCAATTTGTTTTGCTTCTGGAGTGTGAAAGACAAAGCGACCTGCACTAATTGCAGCTTGATGAAAATCGATTGGAAGATTATGCAGAAAAAGCTGGGCACAATACCACGGAGGAGGCTTGACTGTCCCATGTAACGTGCTTGATGGAATAGATAATCTTAGTGATGGTTACCATGAAATATCAGATCAGTCATGGTGGGTGTGTGGAGATAGGCATCAAGCAAGTGTTGCTTACTCATAATGTTATGTGTACTACCGGTATAGGCATCTAGTAATAATATTGTTGCATTTTGCAATTATTATGAACAATCGTATACTACAATAAAATCCTTTCATCTCAAGCAGGGTTTGAATTTTTTTTCTGCATACCTATACTGATGCAGGTAACATGCAAATTACCTTTTAATGCACGAAGGACACAATGTAGCTACATGTACAATTTGTACCTGTTTGCATGTACCTCCCTCAAAAAAAAATGTCATTGGTAATTTATGGACCTCCAGTTTATGGACTGCAGTGTGTATGTACACGGTATATAATCACATCACTCTTCCCCTGAAGTTTGTGTTTTGATGACTTCTCTGAGCCCCGGATGAACCCCAGGCCCTAAAGATGACATCTAATATTCCATGACAAAAGGAACCCTGGAGATGGGATTAGCGTGGTTACAGATGACCTTTCTGATAAAGCGTGGCATCTCACCCAGACAAGAGGCACTTAGGTTGACAAATATGCCTATATTACCCATTATAATGTCTTCGAAAAGATATACATCATCATCTTATAGACCATTTGATGATACCTGAGGTGCAAGGCTGCTCTCAATTTATTACAGGGTTGTTATATCTGTGTGAAAATTGTTGTACATGTAAAACCTTATGGCAAAATACTGTACATGGCAGAGGTGTCATTTAAAAGTTCTTTATTTATCTTTATTCAATAATTATCTTATACACCATATCTCTTTTACATGTCGGTATATTGTGTAATGCCAACATTTTTCACTAGATGGCATTATTCTTGACAATATTGCAGTCAACACAAGAACCACCTAATTCTGTGCCAAGAAAAATCCCCTCTTTTCATCCCGAAAAGTTCAAACAACAATTGAACGATAATTCTTGTAGTTCTAAGCTTCCAACGAAATACAATCAGGTTTAAAGTGCTCTTGTGGACAAAAATTGGAGCTTTAAGTGAAGGGCAGAAACCCATTGTACAAAGTAGAGATGAATAGCACGCGAACAGGGAAACTGGGACAAACTTCCCTTACTATCCTCTAAATGGTAGTGTATGGCATTGGGATAAGTCACTGCAATATGTGATGTATCTATTTCTATACTTCATTGACAGATACAGTATTAAAACTGCGATATCTGCAGTCAATACAAAAGCAAAAGTAGTGGGAAGGTCTGTTTAGTATTAGTCAATGAAGGTTGATGATGCCAGTAAAGCCTCACACTTCAATGTTTATCATTCTGGTGTAATGAACAGAAAATGGCTGCCATTTCCTGTAAAGAATGGGTCAGGTCAATACCTGGTAATTATAGGCCATTGATTTTTTTATGCATGAGATTTAGAGGGGGGGGGGGTGAGTGGTCATGGTCTCTCAGCAGCATTGGACAATCTGACATGTACAAATTCTCAAAGATTTCGTTATGCAGTCTACGGAAATGCCTCATGTAGGGCTTGAATTGAATCAACTTTATAACAAACTTTTTCTTTAAATACAAGCCACTGTACATGTACATGATTCTTTTGTAGTCTGTCCTAACCTATATACATATATTGTACTTCCTCCTCTTAATGTACCTGCCCATTTTATTGACCAAACGGTATGTGCCAAACTACCATCCTGTCTTTCATGAACAGTAAATTAAACAATCCCTCTACATTATGTGTAGTAAATGTAAGAAGTACGAAATGTATCACCTCAATTTGTCTATACTACAGGCACAGACATAACAAACAGGTATTGATCCGAACTTTGCGAATGCCTGGGCATGAAACTGACATGACAGGTAATAAAAACCCTTATTTACTGTGTCACAGCAATCAGCTTTACAGGCAGTAAAAGTTAGCAAGCTGCTGTTTCGGCCAATTAGAGTATATCAACCTGCAAACAACACTGTAAAGTAATATGCACCTCAAGAAAAAAAGTGAGACAAAGGTGTTCATGAGACAAAGGTGTTCAAGTATTTACCAAGCTGGTGTGTTACGCCAAAAGACGGTTATACCGGCTATACAGATACAGACAGATATAGAAACATCATGTAAGGATACTATTGACGTATGGTAGAGAATGATGTATCAAACATTACTACATTTGTGTATTGTACAAAATGTATGTCAATACACCATATCCTGGTCAAAATACCACTGTAGAACGACATCTGATGAAAGAAGGAACAGATCATCAAAACCATAAACATGCATTGTCTTCACACATACATTGTATACTAGTATAGTGCAAGTATGTTACTAGTACTGTTTTTCCTGACTGTATTATGCAATGAAAAATTGATGGACAGTTTGTGAAAAAAGGAACTATATACTAAGAAAGAGAGGGGAGAAAGGAGATTATGAATTTGATATACCTGGTACTGTATCATAGTAATCACTGAATATTTTCTTAATCTACGGTAACATTCAACAAGCAACTATACAATCAGCATCTGTTTCTAGGAAAGGAGAGCATGCTGTACTACAAAATGATAAAATCCTTCCTACATCTCCTGTAAGCCAAAGCCTGGGAGAAACAGCTGGTGTTTTTCTTTGCAATGTATAGTATCAAACATACTCTGTACGTCTCACGGCTGGCTTAGCCTGTCTGCCTTTAGTTATCAGGAAAGGCACAATAATGAAGTAAGAGTTAATCTGTGTTACACACATGTTCCTTGGTTTGTTTTGATCTAATAATACAACAAATGAGGCTGAATTTTCCCACAGCAGACTAAGAGGCTTGGTCAACATTATCCTGATAATGCTTTTACTGGTAACTGATGAAACTGCCACTTCCACTTTCATATACTGTAAATCACGATTTCTTTGCGATTTTCGCTTCTTCTTCTTCCATACTGCAAACTTATTATAACCATGAACAAACATTTCGTCGACTTTCTATTTTTAAGCACCTGCCACCACCTCGAACTTATAGATAAGCAAATTAAACATGCCCATTTTTCTCAGATGGCGAACTTTTGCTACCGCGAACATTAAGTGATTTACAGTAAAACCTCTGCAGGTGGTTCTCACACAGAAATCCAACAACTTGCCTTTTGTTTAATCTGGTACATGTGAGAAAAAAAATGTTGCAATCCACGTTTACAATATAGTTCAAGAAAAATAATATTGCATCCAAACATTTCTAGCATGAGTTGGGTTACCTTAACCTGTCACATGCTACGAACTGCACTTGTATCTGGGTACTTGAGTATGTCATGTGTGACCATGAACATTCAAGCATTGACAATCATCACAACAGAGCACTTTGTAGTATAAAAGTATTCATCTTTACCGCCTACCACTCTAGCCTGGAATCTGTCCAATGTCAGCTTGACAACTACAATGTAGTATTGGGAAGCTGAAAATGGATGGATATCAGGCTACCTCCATGCATGGTTGAACTTGTAGGGTTTTTGCACAGTGAAAGCTGATCCTGCTCCCTAAATGGCTACCAAATTAGTCAATAGCAATCACATCCAAGGTTTAGCAGCCAGCCCCTGTAACCTGCACACTGCTGTGTGAGGAGAACAACATCTGTTCCTGTACCGACTGGAAGATTATACACAGATGGGAACTGCTGTGTTTGTATAGTAGAGTTTTCTCACCAGTTTCAGACTCGAAACTTGTACTAAATATTTTGGTTCCCCACACAGATTGCTGGCTCCATGCCTTAGAGTAACATGTGGTGTGACAAAATACAATAGCATTTGCTACGCAAGAAAATACTACCAACAACCAAGCAATAGCTGTTTTCAGTGCCCAACCTCTTAAAACATTGTGGAGCCGAACTGTCAAAATTTGTTAGCTCAACCAGTTGATATGGATCCATTACTGTGCAACTTACCCAGTGTATGGACAAGACTAGTTTCCTCTGACGCAGCCACCTTAGCATCCTTGTAGTACAGCCGACTAACAGATCTAGACACATGAAGCGTGCAAATGGTAGTTCTGGAGGGCTGCCTGGTAACCAAGCGATAAGCTGTAGAGAAGTATTGGTTCTAGTAACTTCAACATGGAGTGGGGTGTACCATTACGGAGATGGTGGGGGCAAATGTGTAACAAAACATTATAAATTTGCTACCAAATGAGAGTTTGACTGCTGTATCAACATTT